GGGAGCCCGATGCGGGACTCGATCCCAGGACCCTGGGATCATGACCTGAGCCAAAGGCAGTCGCTTAACCAACTGAGCCACCCAGGCGCCCGGATTGTCGAAATTTCTCTGGTTGTGTATAAAAACTGGTTTGTCGCTGCTTTTTTTCTTAGCAGGGTAAAGATGTTTTAAAAGTAAAGTTGGTGAAAATACCCTAAATTTGGCAATCATTGCTATGCAAAGGAGGCAGAGGGAACCAAAGGAATGTATTTTCTTTCACCTTTTTTAAAAGCGCCTAAACCCACCAGTACATTTTTGCAACTCTTAGGTTTGCTGTTCTACTTCTGAGAAGCATTGCAGAAATCTAACTATAGTTCTGCAGTTTTTTTAACTTTTTTAGCAGTCTCTGAATGAGAATCTTTTGCTCCTTTGTAGTGAAAGTGCCTCTTTTCAGCACTTTTAAAATATATCATTGCAAGAAAACTTTTGATGCTATCTAGTACCTGTAATATTGTCAAGGATATATTATTAATGGAGGGAAGTAAATTTAAAAAAGTAACATGTAAATGCTTTCTAGTCTCAGGGTTTTTGTGTGTGTGTGTGTTTTTTAATTTTAGAGAGGGGGTAGGGGCAGAGAGAGAGAGAGAATATCTCAAGTAGATTCCCCACTGAGCATGGAGCCCCATGCAGGAGTCCATCTCACTACCATAAGATCATGACCTAAGATGAAATCAAGAGTCCCATGCTTAACCGACTGAGCCACCAGGCACCCCTAGTCTCAGAGTTTCTAAATTAGAATTCCTTTAGTTAACTTGTTTATAAAGCAGTTCCAAGTTTACTCTGAATGTTTAGTATATGTTTTTTCAGGTGGAAGGTTATAGAGGAATGTATTAGTTTTCTGTTGCTGCAGTAACAAATACCACAAGCTGAATGGTTTAAAACAACATAGGTTTAACAGTCTTAAAATTCTGTAGTTAGAAGCCCAACAGGGGTCTCAACCAAACTAAAACCAAGGTATCAGGCAGGTCACTTTAATTTCTAAAGGCTCTCGTGTAGAATCCATTTCCTTTTTCATTCAGGTTGGCAGAATTCTTTGCAATTATAGGACTAAAGTTCCTTTTTCCTTCCTGATGTTCCCTGCTTGTAGAAGCCACCCTCATTTCTTGAATCATGGCCTCCATCTTCAAAGCCAGCATGGATCTAGTAAATCCTGTGCTTGAAATCTCTCTTCTCTCCTGTTCTCTTTCCATTTTTCTTCCTCTATCCTCCACTAGTAAGGGCCCATGTTATTATATTGGACCCATGGATAATCCAGGATAATCCCCCCCACCTTTTTTTAAGTCAGCTGATTAACCTTAATTCCATTTGCAGCCTTAATTTCCTTTTTCCATGTAAAGTTAGTGTATTCACACGTGTGATATTGGGATTAGGGCTCAGGTATTTTAGGGTCCGTTATTCTGCCTGTGTCATCCCGGTGGAATATCACTTAGAGTTTCCTGTTTTTCTTGTTTAAATACAGCAGCCATAAGTTAGTGTTTACTTGCTTATAAGGCTGAATTGAGAAACATGCAGCCCATTTAGGGTGGGTTTATGGAGTGCTTCTTGGCAGCTCTCTTACCTTTTTTTTTTTTTTTTTTTATCCAGCGTTACAGACTTCCTTAGTTTTTTCCAAAGATTTTGGTTTGCTTGTATTTGTTCGGAAGTCACTTAGCATTGATGAAGTAAGTTGAAGATTTCATTTTCCTTTTCTTGTACATTCCTTTATGTTGGAGTGACTCTTTCTTGCCCATATTTACTACAATGTTTATTTCTTTCATTATAGTTTCGTGATTGTAGAGAAGAAGTCTTAAAATTTTTATGTATTTTCTTAGAAAAAATTGGCCAGAAGATCACACCTTACTCTCTTGAAATTAAGGTAAGGAGAAAAAACGTATCTCATTATATACCAACATCTATTTTAACTTATGCTGTAAGTTAAATTTGGGTTTATATTTTATTCCTGCTTTTCTCATCAAGGAGTTTACTTATTTGTGCTTGATTGTGGACTAGAAATGTAGTGGGCTGTTCTTTTTATAGATTTAATAAGGTAAGGCCCTTGTCAGAAACTACTCTGATAACTTTTTGCACATAGGATAAATAATGTATTTTATAAAAAGTCATAATAAATTTGGTTTTTTTAATTGTGAGGAGATTTCAAAACACTAAAAATTTTAAAGAATTCTTCTGCTGGGTAAGATTCTTATTTCATGTCCTTCCTGTGTGCCCTTGGGCAGCAGTTTGAAGTTTGCCTTTCTTGTGCCTCCGTTCTCTTTCCACCTGCCTTCCCCATGTGTCCTTATAATTTACTGTGGAATTAGTACTCATAAAGTTGTTCTTTCTCAGGCTTGTTTATACTTTGAACAAGTGCCACAAGTTAAGTTGTTTTTATTGGTCCCGAATTGCTTTTAGTTCTTGGATGCTAAGATTTGATGAAGAAGTATATATTCAATCTGGGGTAATTTATAAGAAGCTATTTTATTAATTATAATTAACTCTAATATATGACATAATAATCATCAATCTTTTTTTTAATAGGTTTTAATTTTATTTTCTTTTGATTTCTAGCCTTTTGGGTTTGGAATCCTAATACAGTTGTCCCTTGAACAACAGGGGGTTAGAGACATTGACCCCCTGCATGCAGTTGAAAATCCATGTATTTGACTTTTGACTCCCCAAAAAGTTAACTACCAGTAGCCTCCTGTTGACTGGAAGCTTTACTGATAAACATAAATAGTTGATTAGCACATATTTTGTATGTTATGTGTATTACAGATTGTATTTTTATAGTTGAGTAAGCTAGAGAAAAAATATTCAGGAAATCATAGGAGAAAATACATTTACAGTACTGTACTGTATTTATCGGAAAAAATCTGGGTATCCAAGTGGACCTGCAGAGTTCAAGCCTGTGCTGTTCAAGAGTCAACTGTATTTTAAAAAATTGCTTCAACAGTAGAAGTAACTAACATCTGTAGAGTGCTCCATTGTTTACAGAGTTCTTTCATGGTACAGTTTGTCTTACTTATTTTTACCAAAACTCTTTGAGGTAGGTATTTTTAATCTCTTTAGCTTACAAATGAGACTTAGAAGTTAAGAAACTTCACCCAAAACGTGGAGCCAAGTGGCCTCCTTCCAGAGTGCCTGCTTGTTTTATTAGACTGAGCTGTTCTGTTCCCAACCATTCTTCTCTGAATTGTTTTAGTTACTTTTAAAATTTTTGATGCTTGCTTTCTTGATATATGGCAACAAGTGCTATGGGAGGTATGCATGGAAGCATAACTTTTTTTTTTTAATCCTGCTCACGTGTCCATTTACTTTGTGTTTTTGTGACTATTGCTCCCCTCAGAGATGTACTTTTAACTGTTGTGAAGAACTGAGATCTTATTGATGGTTTTGGTATGTCTCCTTTTAAAACCTAGAATACTTGTACCAGTGTTTACACAAAGGATAAAGCTGCTAAATGTAAAATCCCAGCCCTAGATCTTCTTATTAAGGTAATTGTATTATTCTAAGTACATGTATTTCATATTAAACATACAACTTAAAAAGCAGAAAATTAGAATTTTAAGTTATGTTTTGAGTGAGAGATGTTGGAGGCTAGGCTTTGGTCACATTGATGTATGGACAAGATATTCTGACCATCACCTATTAATATCCTGACCTTTTGCTCTAAGTCTCTTCGGGGTAGCAGAGGAAGGATTTTGGGTTGTGAGGGGAATTAAGAGGAAAAATAAGCAAGGAATGTACTGCTCCTGTTTACTCTCATCACCCTAACTCTTAAAACCTAAGGCTACTAAGAGTTGCCAGAATTCACATCATTGTAGCTTTGAGTTCTTTCCTAAACCATACCATGAAAATGGGTCTCTATGTTGTATTTAAGTGCTTCTTGGGGGCTCACTGTCACCTCTTTCTCTCTCAGATGCATCTCTTTTATTGCATCTCTATTTTAGAATTCCTTTGGGTCTTGTTAGTCCTTGTCTTAAGTGCCTCCAAGAGAATGGTTCTAGTCATATTATTGGTTTCTTGGGAAGGTAAATTTAAGTCTACACCCTCTTTCCCTTTGTAACCCCTGTGTTCTACCACCCACCTCAACCTCTGCCTCCCAAATAATCAGGCTAGATAGGAGTGCTGAGAGGCCAAGGAAATCCCTTAGAGACACGTGATTCTGGAGCTTTGTTTGTGTAGAAACAGTGCAGAAGAGGAAGCCTTGTCATTATTTTCCTATTTAGACAATGCTGGTTTGTATTATTTTAGTTACTTCGGACTTTAAGAAGTTCTAGACTCATGGATGAATTTAGAATTGGAGAGTTATTTAGCAAATTCTATGGAGAACTTGCATCGAAAACAAAAATACAGGATACAGGTGAGATGCATTCAAATGTTATTTTTATTTTTATTTATTTTTTTTATTTTTTTTTAAGATTTTATTTATTTATTTGACAGAGAGAGACATAGCAAGAGAGGGAACACAAGCAGATGGAGTGGGAGAGGGAGAAGCAGGCTTCCCGCTGAGTAGAGAGTCCGATGCGGGGCTCGATCCCAGTACCCTGGGACCATGACCTGAGCCGAAGGCAGATGCTTAATGACTGAGCCACCCAGGCGCCCCCAAATGTTATTTTTAAATATTTTAACAAATTGACGTTAAAAAATTAGTGTAAAACTTAGGTTTTTCTCTATTAAAGCATTTATATGTTTTACAGATGAATCCTTTTTGCTGAAAACAAACCCAAATGGAAATAAACAAAAACATGTGAAGACTTCTGCTTCTGAAAGTTTAATCTTGATGAAATGATTTATTTTAAGTAGGCTCCACACCCAATGTGAACCCACAACCCTGAGATTAAGAGTTGTGTGCTCTACTGACTGAGCCAGCCAGGTGCCCCATGAAATGATTTCTTTAAATAGAAAGCTCACACACACACAAAAAAAACCCCACAACACATGTCAAATGTTACTTAGTTTATAATAGTAGATTGGCATAAAATTTATCAGGAAAGATTCTGATACATAAAACTAGATATTTTCTGTGTCTTATTATAAAATTACTTTTGAACTAAACACTCATTTTGTTATTCATTTTTGTTTATTTAAATGTAATTTTTGGCCTTCACTTATCTTAAATTTATTTTTCAGTTTTAGAAAAAATATATGAGCTTCTAGGAGTATTAGGTGAAGTTCATCCTAGTGAGATGATAAATAATTCAGAAAAACTGTTCCGGGCTTTTCTGGGTGAACTTAAGACCCAGGTATGGCAAACTTTATGCTGTTCCGCTTCCAAAGATTTGATTGTGTTTTTCTCTTTTTTAACGATACCGTCTTTAAAACACTTTTTTTTTTTAGATGACATCAGCAGTAAGAGAGCCCAAACTGCCTATTCTGGCAGGGTGTCTGAAGGGATTGTCTTCACTCATGTGTAACTTCACCAAATGCATGGAAGAAGGTATTGTTTGACTTCACTTGATTTTCTTCTTGGTTCAAAAACTATAATTCTAGGGCGCCTGGGTGGCTCAGTTGGTTAAGCAACTGCCTCCGGCTCGGGTCATGATCCCGGAGTCCTGGGATCGAGTCCCACATCGGGCTCCTGGCTCAGCGGGGAGCCTGCTTCTCCCTCTGCCTCCCCCAGCTTGTGTTTGTGTTCTCTCTCAAATAAATAAATCTTAAAAAAAAATAAAACACTATTCTTTGTTTTTATCTCCAGATAGCTAACATTTTTTTTTTTTTAAAAACCTTTAATGTGATATGAACATACATTTTGTAAGGATATTGTGTATTTACAAATTCTCCTATCTGGGGGGCATGGTCAGTGATTTATGTGACTGTTTTTCGCCATTTCAAGGTTGTAGTGGATATTGCTTTGTATAAATGTTTGTCTAAATTTCTAATTATGTTTTTAGCAGTTACTTCTAGAGATTTCCTGGGTGGAGAAGTACACACTTTTCAGGTTCACGGTTAAGCACTTTTGTGCATCTCTCCTAGTCACTGCGTGCACCTCATAAACACTTAGCCTGGTTACTCATCTAACAGGTATTTGCTGAGCACCTGGCATGTGCTGGACCCTGGTTCTAGGTGTTGGGGACTCCACAGTGAATGAAGTCTTCCCTCAGAGTGGAGTGAGGACAGACAATAACATTTGACAGTGACAAATGTAATGGGCAAAAGAAAAAAAGAGCAAGGAACATGGGCAGTGGGGGTGGAAGAGACGCTTTTCATAAAGCAAGGTTAGGGAAGGCCTTTCTCAGGTCAAAGAACCTCTAGGAAGAGGTCTAGGGGACGTTAGGGAGGAAGCCATGTGTTCTGAATGGTAAGAACAGCAAGTGCAAAGGTCCTGAGGCAAACCTGTGCTTGGCTGAGAAGCCCTGTATAAGGAAGTGGTTGAGACAACATCAGTGAGGTCTGTGGGTACAAAGGTGTGTTGTGGTGATGATGTTGGGCCACATAGTTTGGAGACTACTCTAGGATACTAAGTTTTATTTCAAGTCAGTTTGGGAGTCTTTGAAGCATTCTAAGAAAGAATATTACACTATAAGCTCCTTGGGAGCATGGTTCCACATTTGTATCTCTAGCTCTCAGCACCATGCTGGCATGACTTGAGGTACATTTGCTCCAATAATTGATAGCAATATTAGATGAAAATTTAGATCTATAATTTTCAATTCTTTGGTTAGTAAAAACATTGAACACTTTTTCACATTTGCTAGTATTTTTCTTATTGAGTCCCCATATGGAAATTAGCTTTGTAGTATTTTTTTTTTAAAGATTTTATTTATTTATTTGACAGAGAGATAGAGAGAGAGCACAAGTAGGCAG